ATTCTTTATGCAATAGAGATAAGTAGATATGCCTTGAATCTGAGCAAAGTAAATCTATTTAGGTCTAAGGGTAGCTGGTTTGTAAGGGTTATTGGTGGTTGAATCACTAATAAACACGGGTACAAGTGTTGGTTTGATGCTACTAGAATTTCCTGGGGGGAAAAGGTAGGAATCTGAGCTCCTTAAATATTCTACAGGGGGCTCAGGGGAAGAGGAGAGGCCCTCAGGGCACTAGGGAGCTTCTTAGCAGCTCTACAATTTCGTGTAAGGATGGGAGCTGCAGCTGTGCAGTGCTATGCATGGGTGGAAGGTCCTAGGACATGAGATCATACATGCATAATTGAGTTTTGTGGCCTATTTCTCACGTAATTGAAAAGGCTACAGTTACTGTGCAGGGGCTGTGCAATTGTAGAGTTGGTTGCATACGTGTAACTCTGCTTATGCAAGTTTGTGATCATGAGAAATGCATGTCCATCATGCATAATTCAATCTTGCATGTAGAATTTAAGCTCCTTTCCCGTGTAGGCTGCTTTGAATTATGCAAGCTTTGAATTAGAGCACAAAAGGGTCCTGATGACGCCATCCAAGAGGGTTATGATGCAATCTGATGCCCTGATGATGTGATCAAGGATGGGTAAGCTTCAGATAAATGTATATAGCTTATTCCTCATCCCTTTCACGCTTCTACTAGCTGATTCTTTATACATATGTAATTATTTATGGCTTATAAAATATGTACATAATGTATAAGAATAAACATTGTTTAATACTTTATTCTAATGATATTTCTGTGAAATCCTAGTGATATTCTATGTACAATACTCAAGGGGATCTCACAGTTAATTATAGAATTATTAAATATAAATTATGAATTAAGATTAAATGTAAATACATATTTGTTTATTTATTATTTTAACAACAATGTATACTATTTTCCAGTATTCAATTAATTATTATTATTGCAGTTACTAGGTACATTTCACGTACTGTGAAATGTGCTCTGTGGCTGACAGTTGAACATGACAAACCCGACTTACAAGGACCTGAAGACGGCCAAGATGTTCATGAAGAGTCCGGCTTTGGCAGTGACAAATGTCCCAGTGATTGTAATGATCTAGACAACAAGCGCCCTAACGATCTAGATGAACATGTTGATGATCTTTCAGAGCAAGAACAGGCCTCTGAGACAGCGTCTGACAACTGTGATCCTGAAGTTTTACCTGAGGTTGCGCCACAATACAATGACCCTCGGGTCCCTGAACCGGCTTTTAGCATGGACAACTACAGCGCAAGAGATGTCGATCACTGGGCTAGAACTCTGTCGGCCGATCAATTTGAACAACTACGAATCTTAGGACCTGCAAGCCGGATTGAATCTTTCCGGCAATATGCCTTCTCCAATCTTGATCGACCGACTCAGACGCTTAGCTCATCAACCCATGAACACCTTGACCAACCGGTTCTTCCATCTAGTGGCGGCAAAGACAACAGTGATTACCAACACCACCAGCCTGATGACATTGGCAGCAACAAT